GATTAGCCAGACTTTCGTCTGTTGATCCCTTTCGCCACGTAGAGGCTCAGTACATGAAAGAGAAAATGGGTTTTCACTGGGGGAAAACACCAACACAAAACCCCTGTCTCCGAGGAGACAGTTTTCTAATTTTCAATAGTTATTTTTCACTGCTAAAAAGCTATACGATCGTTTTTTATTGTCTAGTTCATTTCTTTCTTTTTTCTTTGATTGGGTCTTTTGCAAAAGGGGGACGTTCAGTGAAAATGAATTCACCTAGCCATGAACCACCAAACATGGCGACCCTTAGGGCCTTTTATAACTTTTTTCGCTTCCGACCAATCGAAAGAAAAAAGCAAATGAAACAATAAACAGCTTACACAGGGAGCTTGAGGGCAGTCAAAAAGTGCTAGTGAAAATTACCATTTAATTCAATAAGTGGGATTTCCCAAAGGACTGTTTTTTTTCAATACGTGGAGTTTTTGCAACTTTTTTTCAAGTCGCCGACAGTGGTTTTTTACGTTTTTTACCTGCCGGACATGAAATTGAAAAATATCCGGAAAATTTGCCACATAGGAAAGGCGCCCGCTGCCGTTGCCTAGGTTTCTCACTGAAAATCCTCGTCCCCCGGCGGCACCTTTTTTTGAATTTTTTTCCTTTTCAACGGCGTTTTTTGGGAATTCCGGATTTTTTTTGAATTTTTTCGCAATAATATTCGGAAAATAGATAACTTTTAACACATTTTAATGCAATAAAAATTTTTGGTCGGAGTCCCCCTTTAACGTTTATTGCGTAACGTGTGAAAAGTTTAAAAAACTCCGAAATGGAAAGCAGATTTACGTAACCCATTAAATAAGTGAAAAACTAAGGGCGAACGAGTAAAAACTAGGTTGAATCGCTCCGAATGCACCTTCGATTGTTTTATTTATTCGTCAATTATCTCGGTTCCTATAAAAGATACTCGAAATTTGTCAACTAATAAAATGTTAGTGGCATAAACGGTGATAATTTTGTCAGATACTTTTTTAGAATGAAAAACATTCATGCTAAGGTTATTTTGGTAGATCATGTTAAACTTTAACACTTTCACCCAGTTGGATCCGATGCACTGTTGAAAGAAGTTGAGACTACGTACTTTGTGATCGTCATTAGGTGTCGAAGCTGGGACCATGATTGCTCTTTTGATGCCTGGATCATCTTTGAGACATCTCTAACCCGTCCAAGTTTTAAGTTTCAGCACCATGACACGACTTCAAAGAGTTTATAACGACAGTACTGGTAGAGGGTTGGGATCTTGAGGGCAGAATTTGAGCTGATCCTGTTTTTTCGTTAATTTTCGGATGAGAAAACAGTCGATATGACAGTGTGAATGATTTAATTGCTTTCTGATAGCTTTTTGGTCCATCCAGCTGCTCCAACTGCCCTGATTGAAGCTTTTCCAGCATCAGTCGGCAAAAGATCCCATGACATGATACAAATTTAAAGACAGAGAAACACGTATTGAAAACAACTTGTTTACAGTGATTTTAGTTGTACAGAATTAAAATTGGACACCTCCGTCTTCGCTGGAGGTCGTGATCTACTGTTCTTTGGAGTGGACGCATAAACTTGCAACGGTTTCCAAAGAAATAAAAGGTATATTTTCAGACTTTTTTAGATAACTCGGGTAGTTTTCAAGGTTTCATTACAAAAATTTTCCACTAGATTTACCGTAAAATCTGTATTGATATTGCGCCTCTATTTGAATTGCCCCTCTAATAGACTTGCACCCCTTGAGGGCACTTGAAAAATAGACTTGCAGCCTTTAATTGAATTGCCCCCGAATACAATTGCATCTCCAGCAGAATTGCGGCTCCGCCGGGAGTACTGTGCAATTTTTAGTCTGTGACACCGTGACGAACAATTGCACAGTTGTTTTTCGAATTTCTTTTTTTTAAAACTACCTACTTAATTTCTGATTTATTTTTATTTTTCTTTGTTTTTTTAACAATATTTTCCATTTATTGAAGCGAGCAACACGAGCAATGAGTTCTGAAGAAGTCCTCGAAGACGTGGAAAACGTAGAAGACGTGGAAGACGTGGAAAACGTGGAAGACGTGGAAGACGTGGAAGACGTGGAAAACGTGGAAAACGTGGAAGACGTGGAAGACGTTGAAAAAGTTGGTGGAAACTCTAGAAAGAGAAAGCGTGGAGCCCACCCCTTGGATTACAAGCTTACGGTGGTGAAATGGGCAGAATCAAAAAATAACACGGAAGCAGCTAAGAAATTTGGAGTTTCAAGACAAAATGTGCAACAATGGAGAGCTCAGAAAGAAAAAATAATAGCAACAATCGCTGAAAATGGAAAAAAGAAAAAACGGCTTGATGGCGCAGGGCGTAAAGTGAATGATAAAGATTTTGATACTAAACTTGCGGAATGGGTCCGAGAGCAAAGAGAAAAAAAGCTTCGTATTACTCGTATTGGAATCCAGAATCGCGCCAAGTCTATTTCAAATAGTGATATGAAGGTTTGAAAACAGATTACCTACTTGAGATTAAACATTAAATGTTGCAGTTCTCGAATGGATGGCTGGTTTCTTTTTTGAAGCGGCATGGATTTTCGAGTAGACGTGCTACAACAGTCTGTCAAAAACCGCCAGAGTTTTATGTGGAGAAAATTATTGACTTTCTCCTTTATGTGGAACGATTAATTACCATGAATAATTATGACAAAATTTTCGCATGTGATGAGACGGCGGTTTATCTGGATTGTTCGAATAGTTTGACTGTAGCGGATCGAGGATCTAAACAAGTCAGCACACTCAAAAATAACAAGCTAAACGTTTCAATTTCAGGTTTCAGTGAAAACCACGGGACACGAGAAATTGCATGTTACAGTAATGCTGTGCGCTCGATCAGACGGTTTTAAGTGCAAACCTTTTGTACTTCTTCCAAGAAAAAGACCAGTGCAAAGTATTGAGGAAACATTTAGAAAAACTTTGCAGTTGGTTTGGTGTGACAGAACATTTTTCAACGATGAAATCACAAAAACTTTTCTTGAAAAAGTTCTCGGTCACTCAATGTTCGGAAAAAGGTTGTTAGTATGGGACTCTTACCGTTGCCACATCAGTACAGACACTAAAAAAGTATTGAAACAACTGAGACTAGACACTGCGGTGATTCCTGGAGGATGCACAAAATTCTTACAAGTGAGTAGATTTTATTGAAACTTTGCGTGACCCGATTTTTCAGGCTCCAGATGTATATTGGAACGCAATGTTTAAATCTTTCATCAGAAAAGAGTACGAAGATTGGATGGTTCATGGAACGAAATCGTTCACCCCGGCGGGAAATATGCGTGCTCCCAGTATGGAAGTTTATTTGAAATGGATTCAATTGGCGTGGGAAAATATCCCGAAGGAATACATTGTAAGATCATTCAAAGGATGCGGATTAAAAAATGGAAGAAATGGCGAAGATGATGAGGCAATTCATTGTTTCAAGAAAGATGGAGAAATTCCAGAAGGCGTACAGTTATTGAAGACAAGACGAGCAGAACGAGAAATGGAAGAAATTCAGGAGATTTTGGGAGATATTGAAATTGAGGAAGACGATGGAGAAATGAACCATGCCGAGGAAGAAGACAATAACTATGACAGTGACGCCTCAATTTTTTGAATATTTTCCTTTTGTTGTGTTCAATTTGTTACTTTTTTGTTGATTTTCATAATAAAACTTTTTTTTTCAAAATTTTCGTAGTTTGAAAAATAGAATTGCAGCCTCTATTTGAATTGCCCCTCTAATAGAGTTGCACCCCTTGAGGTGACTTGAACAATAGACTTGCATGCAATATCAATACAGATTTTACGGTAATTTGTTGTCCCGAATCCGATTTTCAAAAAATTAGACCGATGCCTCTAACAGCTCTCAAGTTATGACACTAAACATGGGTGGACGTAAGAACCTGCAACGCACTGTATTATTTGAAATATTCATTTAAGAAATTCCGCAATGTTTTTACGTTGCTTTGAGCCAGACGAAGGGCTGAAATGACCTTTTTCAAATTTTCACTGATTGGTGTCATCAATCAATTCATTCAGTAATTTTATTTTGATTAAAAATCAAGACCCAATACAGGATATTATAAGAACCGATTACGATACATTTCAGTTGTTGAAGTTTTGTTTTCTCCTGGGATTTCATATTATTAGCGGCCAGATGATCTAAAAGTTCCGGGACGTTGAAATTGCTTCAAAAACTGTAAAGACAAGTATTCGAAAATAAAGAGGATTACTGTAGGTATATTAGATTATATTAGAAAATTATATTAGAAAATCAGAAGAATTACTGTACGTTGTGTTTGAAGCGCCGGAGGCGCGACAAACAGGCTGGTAGAATTTAATAAAAACAAATCTGAAATTTTTGTTTTGACGGTCTTATACGATATTTTCCTCCTAGAAAATTCTCGTGTGGGTTTTCTTAAAACCCAATATATGAATAAAAACATCTAACGTCTTCTCCCCGAGAGATTATACAGTTCGCCTCGTTCGAGATTATTCTTTTTTCCCTGTTCTTATTCTGCATCAATTATGAAGATTCCAACTTCTCGATTGATATACCAACGTTCCGTGGCTTCTATCGGAGTTGTAAACAATTTGATATTGATTGTTTTGATTGTTTTCAAATCTCCAAAACAGTTGGGCTATTATAAATATCTGATGTCTTACATTTCTATTTTTGAAATTTTATACTCTACTTTGGATTTTGTATCAGCCGCGGTTAGAGAAAACTAGGCCACTACTGTACATAATAGAAAAATTGTTTCAGGAAATTTATAGCAACGATTCTCTATTTGTGGTAATACTCCACAAAAATCTCGCAATTCTTTCAGATGGTTTGTTGAAATATGCCAATCGTGAGATGCTCAAAATTCTCTTTTTTGGAAGTTGACAATTAATTTCAGTTGCCTTCTGTAGCCTTTTCGGAATGTCAATGGTTATTTTGGCTATCCATTTTGTTTACAGATATCTCATTATCCTTGGGTATCTTTTGTATTTTATAAACTCTTTTATTCTTCTTTTTTTTCAGAAGCGGGTTTCTTCGAAAAAGACATTTTCAAAAAGTTCTCTCTTTTATTGGATTCACAGTTATCGTTGGATTCCTCTGGGCTCTGTCAATGTATTGGTTTCTCAATAACAATGTCTACTCTGATATTGTATTGAAGTCTCTGATGAATTTTGAAATTTCTAATTTGAAAATATCTTGTTGCATTCGATTGCTCTGTAAAATAATTAGGCTTTCAGGAAAGATTACCTTGCTCCACGTCATCTGAATCTGTCGGATATCGATTACGTTGGAGCACATTTCTGGCAAATTGACGGAAATGGGGCAGAATTTATAAATTGGAAATCAATCGGAGCCGTCGCAATTATGACAGTTATTATAGTAAGTTATATCTTGCGAATGTTAATGAGCCTAACCGAAATTGCAGTTCATAAGTTTCTCTACCGTTTTCTATTGTGGATATCAGATCTACACTCGGATGGAAATAATGTCTTCTATCCAATCTGCTGGATCCAAAAATCTTCAATCCCAACTGTTTTGGGCACTAGTGTTTCAGACATTAATTCCAGTTCTCCTAATGCACATTCCTGCATCAATTGGCTTCATCACATCAATGTTTAATCAGACAAATCAGTTTCTGGGAGAAGTGGTAACATATTCAATATTCATGTATCCTGCTCTTGACCCCTTGCCAAATTTCTTTATTATTAAAAGTTTCCGACAAGCGATTCTAGGTTTGTTTAGATTATGGGAAAGGTGGTTACGTAATTGTTCTCTTTCAGACTTCCTCGGGTGTCTGAGGAAAGGAATAGCTCCTGCGAACAGCAAAAACACAAACTCTCAAAAACAGAATAGTGCACAAGTGGATCAGAATTAATTGAACTTTTTTAAAAGAATTGTTTGAAAGTTTTTGAGACTGGATAAAGTAAAATGTCAATTTGATATCTTTTAATGTTTTATTATGGTTTTTTGCCTTCACAAAATGTTTGTTACTTTTCACATTTTTACAGTTTTCATCTAAACAATTATTATTATTATTATTTCATTTCTCATGGTACATAATGTGTGTCTTGTTATTAACAACTCCGGATGTAAATATACGATCTTTACTATTAACAATCACCAAATTCTGTGTGTGAGTGTGTGTGTCCGTTTGTTCCCGTATCACCTTCCCTAACGAAGTCCAGAATGAACCAAATTTTCCCAAATTTTCACAGAAAACCCGAAATAGCAGCGAGATGATGCCCGAATATTTAATCTTTCGAAATTTTGTGTCTGATGTCTTCTGGAGACGTTCTTCTATTTCTACAGTGCAAATTTTTAGAAAAATATTGAAGAAATATTCACGTCATTCCCGTCTAACCGCCTAAATTTTTTTCTTATCCACGCTATTTCTGAGAGAAAGGATTTTTGTGGAAATATTATTTTAGTATGGGGTTTAAAGATTTGAAAGGAAGAAAAAATTCTGAAACAGTGTAGAAGAAAGAAAATAAAAGGAAAACAAAAAAGAAAGAAACAGAATGCGAGGGAAAATGACAGAGCCCTTTCTGATCAATCGATTTTTCAGAATTCAGAATAATTTTTTAAATTTCTGAGATCTTATTCACCGAATATGCCAAAAAATTTCAAAGTTTCTGATTTTCCAACATTTCAGGTTTTCAATTTTCGGAATGTCTAAATTTTCGAAATTTAGAGTTTTCGAATTCTGAAATCTACATTTCCCATTTTCCGAAGTTCCAAAAACTTTTCGACGAGACTGTGTTTCGAAAAGTTGAATTTCTGAATTTCTAATTTTTCAGGTTCTCAAATTCTCGATTCTAAACTTTTTCGAAATTCTATAAATTTTGCGAACAGGGCCGTTTCAGGCCAGCCCGGCATTTAGTAAGTGTGCAAAATTCTGAATTTTCCGATTCCTTAAAATCTGATATACCAAAATTTGGGTATTTCAGACATACAGATTGAAACACTTTTCTAGATTTCAAAATTAATGTTTTCCTACATCTGATTTTTTAAAATGTACTAATCTCTGAACTTGCGAGTGTCTTACTTTTTCAATTTCCGGATTTTCTTACTTCCGACTTTCCGAATTCTAGGAATTCTAAACAACCAAAATATCGAATTTCGAAATTTCCTAACAGACCATGAAAAAATAGTCCCTGGAAAAAGGACAAAACCTGTCTATAAGACAACGGGTACTGTAAGCGGGAGCCAGGAGGCTCAGCCCGGAGGGGCGCAAACCGACTGTCTTTCAAAATTCGAAAATTGCGAATTCAGAATTTTCGGAGAACATAAAGTTTAGTAAACCTGACATTTAGTTATCCAAAATTTGAAACTTCAGGAAACCGGGAGTTCACATACTCCGGATTTCAGAACATAAAAAATCTTTTTTCAATAGTTTGGAAATTTTGAAAATTTGGGAAATTAAATATTCTTCGAAAAAAATTGATAGTATGTAAAACTTTCACAAATTTTGGTGAATTCGGAAACTCAAAAATTTTTGAATTAGAAATTAAATTGTAAGATACAGAAAGCGGAAGCCAGGAGGTTGAGCCCCCGACAGGGGGCGTAAACCGCTGGTTATAGATAACTATTTGATTGCATATACTACTACTACAGGAAATTAATTCCTACATATTAAGGCCAAGTCTAGACAAAATAATAACAGACTCTGTCATTGTGAAAAAAAACACAAAATATAATGTTCTCGAACTATCGAGTCCTTTTTCAACGATCCGTCGCACTCCTCGGAATTCTAAATAACACAATTTTGGCTTTTTTGGTTGTATACAAATCACCAAAAAAGTTGGGTTATTACAAATATTTGATGATGTACATTTCCATATTCGAAGTAATTTATTCCATTTTGGATTTTTCAACAGTCCCCGAAATCTTCAGTAAAGATTCTGCATTCCTTATTGTTATCGATAAAAACTCAACTATTCTTCCTGATATTTTGTTGGTTTGTGCTTTGGGTAAGACTTATTTTAAAATGTTCAAAAACATAATGATGACACGTTTAGTGGCTTTTTGTAGTCTTTTTGGTATGTCAATGGCGATATTTGCAATACATTTTGTCTACCGATTTCTGGTGATCACAGGATGAGTTACTGTGAACACTCTAATAGAATGACTCCACTCCTTCTAACTTTAAATTTTGTGCCAATTTATCTCGGCTTTGTGAAATATATAAAAAAATGGTCAACTGAGAAAATATTTTTGATGTTATGATAAACGTTTTATTAGTTGATCACTTCTTGATATCTCTGGCAGGAAATGAGATATACAGGCTCAAAGTGGATGGTTTAGGAATTCTATTAGAGCTCTGATAGAATCACGAATGCTTACTGTATTACAGTTTGAAGCTTTTCAGGAAATCCCTGAATGGTATTATTATTATTCTAGGCTCTATTTTTTCAGAAGCACATTCCTTCAAAAAAATCATTTCAAAAAAGTAATGGGACTCCTTTACCATTTACATCGGAATAATGTGGAGTATTTTCTCGTTTAACTTTCTCCGTTCTAATGAATTCGCCGACGAAGTTTTAGATCGAGAATGTCTAAAATCCAGACATCTTCATCTAACAGAAGTGGACCATTATTCCTATTTGAAACTGAAAAAGGAACTTACACTCCAAACTTTGATGCTTTCGTCACTATTGCTTTTATGACACTTCTCATTGTAAATTCTATGATTTAAATAATCAATAAACACACATTTATTTCAGGGTCTCAGTTTTACTACCGTATTTTATTGTGGATATCGTATTTATAAGAAAATGGAATCGCTAACGATGTTAAGATCATCAGGAATTGATCGCTCACTTCAATCTCAATTATTCTGGGCACTCGTTTTTCAGACTTTGATTCCAGTGGTCCTTATGCATATTCCAGCAAGTTTTGGTTTTGTATTTTCAATGTTTGGAATTTCTATGGAAATTTTTGGAGAGCTTCCGACAATTACTGTTTTCATTTATCCTGCTCTAGACCCTCTCCCCAACTTTTTCATAATTAAGAACTTTCGACAAGCGATTTTTGGTGAGGGATAATTGAGAGGAGTTTGTGCTAGATAATTTTATGATTTACAGAATTTCTTGGCTGTGGGAAGAAGAAAGAAACGTCGACATCTTGTAATGAGAACAATCCAATTCAACGGGAATCACTGGAAATGCAGAGAAATGTTTTCGTGGTAGAATCTAACTGATTGAAACCAGGGGGTTTCCAGCAGAAGCTTAATATTTGTAACTTCCGACTTGATTAATCTTTATTTCGCCTAAATAAATTACTCTTAATTCGACATCTTTCTTTTTTCATGAAATTCGAAAAACTCGAGCCAAGGCATTTTGTTATACCGTAAAACCTGTAGAAGGGCCCCTAACTTTTAACTTTGAGATAATTTTTCTCGGTTCCTCTCAAAGCATTCTCTGTTCTTACATGAAGAAATTCAAGATTCTTGAAGATCAGAAGATCAGAAGAAAAGTGACATGAAAATATATACTCATTACATATTTTATTCTGGAGATAAAGAAACTCAAACACTACAAAATGCTAGTGCACACGAAAAACTGCCGGAAGCAAAAGGCGATGCTTACAAAATGAAAACAGAGAAAATGTACATGTATCAATGTGAAGAAAGCTATGGGGAGGCATTATACATGAACAGTAGTGGCGAGTAGATAGGAATAATAACTGGTCAGAAGTTATTACCATCACAAGAATGATTACTGTAGATAAAACATTGGGGATTAATCTGCAAGGCTGGAGAGGAGGCTATATAGAAGACACATGAATATATACAATTCAGAACATGAGAGGGTTACTGAGGAAAGATGGGAACATGACATCCAACTGAGCCGTCATTTCCAGAAGGGATAAATCTCGTGGCGGAAGTGGTTTTGGAGAAGTAATCGAAGGCAGCTTCTGCAGGGAGTCAATGATTTTCTTTCCCGATGAAAACCGTTCCAAGCGGGACGAATGACGCTCCACACGGCATCTGATCTTCTCGTACCACGCGGCATACATTCCGAGATCCGATGGTGATAGCCGACGCTCTCTGAAAACGAAATGTCAATGATAGAATCAGTTTAATTAGGTGCTCACTCTTTTCCCATTAAAGCAGATGTACAAATCGTTATCATCTGTTGAACGACATAGTTTCCATATTGATGGAAGAGAAGAATGTCGAGTGCATCGCGATTCGTCCCATGATCCTTGACGTAACCATCGAATATCTCGGTCATCATTTCCGTGAGAAGTGAGGGAGGAGCGAAGATGAAGGCTCCTTCAATGACATGTGATGCGTATTTGTCCTGTGACATGGAAAGTAAATTTCTCAGAAGACACTTGTCTATGATCATATCGCGATACATTTCCATGATTCCTGACGACTTGATGGCGTACTGAACGACATAGTTGGCAAACTCATTCGATGACAATCGATAACAATTGCGAACCACGCATGACATCAAAGTATGGAGAAGTTGAAGGCGTGCGTTGAAGCATGGGGCCTTCGAATTCTCAGATAATCTGTCGATGACTTGCTGCCTAGCCGACATCCGTACTTGTCTCTGCATACAGCCATCAGATTGTCGCCAGAGTACAGAAATTCCACGAAGAACGTCCAAATGTCGACAGGAAGATGCCTTACAATGCGTTGCATGGCATGAATCGATGTCTGGTCGGTGCAAATGTCCACTAAATCAGAGGAATGGAGCGCTTTGATCAGATCAGTGACAACGGAACGATCGAACTTCTGTAACAAGATATTGCTCAAATTTGAAACTTAAAAAGATCTATACCTGAACTGCGATTTGAACGACGCGGCAGGCGAATTTATCTTTGCACATATCCGCCAATCCGCACTCCACCATTCTCTGCAGCAACACTTTCTGCTCATCGAGCGTTGCGAATTCGACAAGCTTCTGGATTATGAAGTTTCCGTTTGAATTTTTACACAATCCACCGAACAAGCTCATCGATTCGGTGAGCTTTTCGAAAACTGCTCTGTGCAGATCGTTATTAGCATCCGTCGGATAGTGGATCTCCAGGAACTTCACTCCGTGACGGTCCATCGCAAAATTTATGAGCTGCTCCTTCACGACGACATTTTGCAGAGTAATCTCTGTACGCGCCGGCTCGGCGAACTCTGAGCTTGCGACGAATGAGTTCTGGCCCCTGTCCAAAGGGAAGAAGGTGTCTTCTGATGGCGTCCCGTTGAAAAAGAAACTTCCCGAATCGGGAGTCAAATTGTTGTTCGCCAGTGATGATGTTCGGCGATTCGAGAGTGGGAGCAGCTTGACCGACGGTTTGTTATTGTTCTTATTGTTTACGAAGAACGAGAAGTCCGTGTTGAACGGCATCATCGCATCGAATGACCCGTTTCCAAACAATCCTTGTGTGCCAATTGACGATGATCCGGAAGATGTTCCATTGCTTCTACGGAACCACGAGTCGTTCATTGTGGGGAAGACTGAGCGACAACAGGAAAATCGCACAGGTTAGTAGCCGCTGAAAGTGAAAGAAGTAGAATAACCAAAACATCTGACATAGAGAAAGAAAGAGGAATTATCGAGATATTGGATTCGGATTCACGACACATGTGAAACAACAAAAATGGCGATGGAAATCGGAGAAAAATGACAGAGAGAACTGATGGCGCCGCGTATGCTACAGTAATCACTTAAAGGCGCATAACGTTGTTGCTGAAGGTCTCGAGTGGAAAATCGGCTGTTCAAAAAGTTTTTTCTAAATAAAAATATTTATTTTTGTGGTTTATTGAGAATGTTTTTCGCATACATGTGGATGGCCGGGCCGGCCCGCTTGCCTCAAAACCCTCGTCCCGGCCCGGCCCGCTCGGCCCGCCTAGGACAACTTTTCGAAAATGTTACTTTTCAAATGTGCCAATATATTTTTTAACGTACAAAAATTAATCCAAATGCATACAACCATCCGAAAAAGTCAATTTAATTGAATTTTTAGCAAAAAAATCAAACTTCATTAAGCCACGGATGAAATTTTTTTCTAAAAACGACCTCAAAACAGATTTTTTTCGACAGAATCGTCCTCTAGTGTGGATTTTTATTTATTAAGGAGAAAAGCCATCTTGAAAAATGATGATTTGCTCTAAAATTTCGAAATTTTCAAAAAGCGAGCCGGTCCGCGGGCCGGCCATGTGTAATTTTTTCCGGCCCGGCCCGGTCCGACCCGCGGGCCTGCCATCTTTTCCACAAGTATGGTTTTTCGATTATATTCTTCTTCAAATTGAAGTTTTTCAGATTTAAAAATGTCTATGGATCATATGATGAAAGCTGGCGAACAGCCATTCGTCTCAGAACCTGTAAATTTCAGGTTTGTACTGATTTAAGAAAGACAAAAAAGCAGACAAATTATTTCCAGCAATTTCGCCTATTTTGCAAAAGCGTCTGCAGAAGAGTGTCGTTTATTTGCATCAGAAGAGAGGGCTATCGAAAATTTTCAAAAAACGACTCATCTTTCAGACACAACTGCCAACGAAATTCTCAGTCTCATAGAGTAAGTTCCGTAGCTGTTACAGCTCACAAATTATGTGAAATTTCAGCGTTTCCGACTTATGTCCTCTAGTATTTAATCGAGAGATGGACGGTGGTCTGGAGAGAAACCCGCTGGTATCACAGGCAATTATTTTGGACGAAAATTCGAAAAGACGCAATGCTCAGTTCAAATCAATCGCTCTCCGAGCTCTTCGATATGATCACATTGAACACAGTGCGTTGGCGAGAAAGTCCGCTCATCATTTGTTGCCGGAAGACGATGTGAAGGAGGAATATGAAGATTTCGAAGAAGCAGACGACGATATTCAAATGTATGAGCCAGACCCTGAAATCATTGTCATCCCACAGGCATCGACAAGTTCAATGGAAATCGATTCATCAGAAAAGGATCTTATAATCAGTGTGTCCATTTATCTAGGATACACTCGCGAACTTCAATACCACGAAATCCGGTTAGGACGTTTGCTAAAAGTCACAGATCGTCTCGAGTTGACCGGACAACACACACTTCTCGATCTTAAAAACGCATTTTCGTGTCCGGCAGATTTCGCATTCCACGAAGATTTCAGCGAGAAGAAGCCGGCTATTCAAGACTTTGCGAAAAACAAGTGGCCATCATCAATGTTCTTCATTCACGACACTTTCTACGTTGAACCAGGATTTGAGGACCCGTCATTGTATTTCTGATTAACTGAAAATTTGTATTTCGAATGCTATTTATTACAGAACTATCCGAAATTGGGCTCAAAGCCGAAGCTACATTGGCCCAATGAATGTCGAATCAATGGTAGACAAGAAGCTAGGAGAACTCGTATGTCGGCTCGGCCAGCCATATGTCTACATTCATCAAGGCGTTTGTGAACATCTCGTTGTTTTCAATGATTTGTTTTTGAGGTTTTTTTTAAACAATTTGTACTAGGTCTTTATGGTAAATATTTTCAGAGATGAGTCACACGAGAACGTAGTTTTCCCACGTCGTCTTGTCGAACGAAATTTCCGGAGAATCGCCTGCGACATCTGTAAAGCACGTCAGCTCAGTGAGGATACAACCAAACCATCTTGAATTACAATCGGAAATTTTCAGATGGATGCTTTTAGAACACGAGAATTTACTCCCGAGTTCGCCAGGATATCTCTGTTCTTCATGCTACAAAGAGTTCTGTTTCGATGTTCACGGCAAGAAAGTGTCTCAATTCAAGGCGGTTCCGTATTGCGATCGGAAGGATATCGGCGACGGCGGAAAGTTCATTTCCGAGTTGCGCTTCGAAGCGGCTCAAGAGAAGTAGCAGTAGTCGTATAATGCATTTTTCATCTTTTCTTCTGTTGTTACCATCTGTAAAATTTTGTTTTTTTTTCTTATTTTTTGTTAGTTTCGTTGTAGTTATGTGAATTTCAATTTCACAATAAACACATGATATTTTTAAAAATGATTCTATAGACTGGACTACAATTCTAAAAATTATGATAAGAAAGCTTGAGTTCGTCGCCGACAGATAACAACTTCATGAGCTCCAAGTCCTCACTTGGAGAATAAAAAAAAAGAAAAATCTCCGGGAAGTGTTTTCAATACTCGAAAAATAGGAATTTTCTCCCAAAAGCTGGGTTCCCAGTGGAAGGGAAACAAGGCGTTTTTGCCTGAGCCTATAAGTTTTATACAAAAAAAACAAAGAATTTTCAGCAAAAATGTGAAAATTTCGTTTACTTTCGCGAGCTTCAGCACTTTTTTCCAGTTCTTTTTGACAAAAATTGGTAGAAGTCAAACATTAAATTTTTTGCACTTTCTATAAATGATGTTACTCTGTTAGTTTTTTCTAGAATTTCTGGATTAGAAGACGACATCTTCGGATTAAAAAAGTTGAAAACTGAAACTATACAACTGTCACGTATCACACTCCACCCACTTTTTCTTTACTCAAAAATGAGCATCAGTAACATCACAAATCAGAGATTTCTTTGAATCACCCTCCCTCCATAACAACTACAATTTTACTAGACTTATCTGAATCATAACCGTCTACAGTAAACAAACTAGGAATTCTAGAATTCATTCATTTGAAAGAAAAACTCATTCGTTTGAAAAAAAAATGCCAATCGACGATGTTCTATGGCTTAACATTTCAGCAGCCTGTGCTGTTTCTATCAACTTTCTTCTGATTTTTTTGATTATCACAAAATCTCCGAAGTCTCTGGGATCCTATAAATATCTTATGATTTACATTAACCTTTTCGAATTCACATATGCTATTTTGTATTGTGCTGAAAAGCCGGTGAGTTGAGAGTAAAGCCTTTAATAAAAGGGCTCCCCCACTATAGGAAGTTACCCTATACTTTCACTTGATCTCAATTATCTCAATTTCTATAAGAGATATCAAAAATGTGTCAACAGATAAAATGTTGGTGGTGTTGTACTACATATTTTATCAGATAACACAATTTTGATGTTTCGTATAGGAACAGAGATAATTGAGCTCAAAGTGGAAGCATAGGGCGGTCTTTTATCAAAGGTAATTTTGGGCTAATATGTCTCGGTTCCTGTGCAAGATATCTAAAATGTGTCAACTAATAAAATATTTCTAGTGTTATGATAAACAATTTATTAGTTGACTACTTCTTCATATCTTGGACAGGAACCAAGATAAATTGGCTCAAAGTTAAGGGCCCTTCTACGACAGGTTTTATGGTGATTGCATTTTTCGCAACTTTTGTTTTTTACAGGATCTATTCACCAAAGACTGCGCGTTTTTTCTAATTGTCAACTGGAGAGAATCAATCTTTCCAAAGTTTATCGCATGTCTTCTGGATTGTGAGTTCTCAGAATTGTTCCTGAAAATCTCAAATAAAAATTACAGTACTCTTCGTTGGATTCTTCGGAATCTCCATTGCAATTCTAGCACTCCATTTCATTTATCGTTTTCTAAGCATCACCAAGTAATTTTTTTAATGTTTATAAGCTACAGTACTCTTACAGTAACCGTCATTTAAAATCTTTCGATTCCTGGAAAATCGTGCTTTGGTTCATGATTCCTCTACTGAATGGAGTCTTATTTATGATCACTGGTGGTATAATTCTATGTGCCGATCAGGAAACGGATAGATTCATGAAGTGAGTGATATCGAAAAATATTAAGTGAAAACAAAGATTTTTCAGGGAAAATTATCAAATTTTACTGGAAAACACTACATCACTTGATAGTTTGTACTACATGGGTCCGTTTTTCTGGCCAAAACGAGATTATCCGTCGGATGAAATTTATTTCAGTTGGAAAGGTGCTGGAGGTTCAGTTATTGTAATGGGGTTGATTGTGAGTTTTTAAAAGTTTTTTTTTTGAAATTTCATTCAGAACACAGTGATGTATAATGATTTTTTAAACAAAAAGGATTATTGTAGGAAAAACAATCTAATCGGCCACTTTTCAATAAATGCATTTCCAGAAAAGATACCGTATTCCCGCTAATAGAATGCCACTCCTCACTTTCAACGTTGAGCCAATTTATCTCGGTTCCTGTGAAAGCTATCAAAAAATTGTTAACTGATAAAATGTTGATGATATTATGTGAAATAATGCATCAATTGACAATTTTTGATATCTTCCAAAAGAATCGAGATACTTGAGCTCAAAGTTAACTGATTGGGTGGGCTTCTATTGGATAAGGTAAGTAACTTCTAACCAAAATTTTGTTAAACTTGGAATTGAAACAAGATTGGCAACATTGTTTCGGGATACCTCCTGCAGAGATTTTTTTTCAAAACTAACAAAAGTTGTGTTTTTTAAATATTATTATCCTGACATTGAATTGCAGCTACCGTCTATCAATTGACAAAATGTATGCCATAATATCAATAATATTTTTAGTTCAATTTTTTTGATATCTTTCACAGGAACTGAGATACATGAGCTCAAATATGATTTCGGTGGCGTTCTATTAGAGTGTTTACGGAGGCTCCAAGTTGTAACTTTAGGTGACACTCTATATAAGTGTTTACAGTAATTTCCTTCTTTGTAGACTTCTGAATATCTACATAAACTTGTTTGAACATTCTCTATTTTCAGAGTTTATCCAGTTCAATAATGATATATTTCGGAGTAAAAGGATATCGAAGTATGGACAGATTAATCTCTCAAACGAGTTGCTCGGAAAAGTTCAAAAGTGTCCAAAAACAATTGTTCCACGCCCTCGTTTTCCAAACTCTAATCCCTGTTTTCCTGATGCATATCCCGGCTTCTGCTATTTATATCACTATATTTTTCAACAATTCAACAGAAATCGTAGGTAAAATTCTGAGTTTGACCATTGCAATGTATCCAGCACTCAACCCGCTTCCCACTATTTTTATAGTCAAAAACTACAGAAAAGCATTGAAAGGTGAAGAAAATTATGAGGAGGGGGTTTCGAATCAATCTGGATTTTTAGATTTCGTCTTGGGAATTCAATACAAAATCCAAAATAAGTCAAGAGTAACTCAACTATCCACAACTACACAAGTATCCGCTGGAGTTTCTACGAAATGATAAATGATTTATTTTGAATAACAAAAAAATGATTTAATTATAAAATGGGTTAGAAGACGAGGATGGCTGACTCGGACTGCTATCAACTGCAAAATAACGGAAATGGTTTTCTCCAAATTTAACTTTTTTGTTTTCTCGCTTTATTCTTGCAATATCATCATCCTCTTCTAATGCTTCTTTGTCTTTTCCCAGCTGAAAATATAGAGTTTCTTAAAAAGTAAAGTATTTTCATTATCCTACATTTTTCTTTCTCAACTGATCCTCATTGAATCTATCACTTTCTTCGGTTGAACAAATGGCTAAAACCTGCCACGAGTATTTAGAGATACTCGAAAAATCGTCGTCATTAAGAAACGGATCATCCAGATTCAGAGGCAATTTTTGTTTCTCCAATCGACAAATACAAATCATATTTTTGGCAGAGTCTTCTCCTAAATAGATTCGAAGCGCATCTTGCCATTTGACACCTGTTTTTGTTGGTGTATCAATCTAAAATACCGAAATTTTGATTATATTGTTCAGATTACAGGGCGGCGCATATCATGAAATTTTAGTGAAGCGTTCTCAAACGATTTTTTTCCTTTTGCTCATAATGAATGATTTTTAAGAAATTTACTACGAGTGGAAATCGGACAAAAACTGGAATTCTAAAATGGGCACTGTTCTAGAATCACGGAACAAAAAAAAATCACGGAACGAAAATTTTGGGTAATCCAGAAAGTGCTACTTTTTTTAATTTGACAAGTATTATGCCTAATACTAACTTTTACATTGATTTTACTTCGTCCAATTCAGAAAATGGGTATATCAATATCATTAAATTGCGCTAGTTCATAGGTTACATAGGACCTTGAGAACATATGGTAGTTCGGTTCAAGGTCAAATCGAGCAGCTATTGAACTTGCCGATATTTTTTCATATTCCAGATGAATCATACATGGGGTTTCAGGCTAAGCCTGTAATTGAAAAAAAGCTTCTTCAATTCAGAAGTCTCATCCAATTTTTTGTAAAATGAAAAACCGAGTAGAACATTTTCATGCCAAGATTTCCACTCAATTTAGCCCAATACTAGTCTTATTTCCAATCAAGTTTTTGGTCCATAAAGAGGGGAGACTAATTTTAGATTAGGGAAGATTTTCTCAATTATAGGCTTAGGCTGAAACGCCTTTTTCCTTCATCTGGGCATCCAAAAAATGGCGGAAAGTTCGATAATAGTGTTTGTTGCAGCCACAAATCTAACTCACCGATATACCCATGATCTTTAGAACTTCTGGAGAAGATCCTATGAAACCTATTAACTGTGTACATTGTCAAATAGTGTGTCTTATGGACTTAATATACCCATACATGTATAATTTTGGATACTGATCAAAGAAAAAGTGATGTCAAGGTTAGATTCCAGGATATTACTTGGATGAAGGTCGTAGCAATTTTCGGATAATCCAAAATTTTCGTTCCGTGATTTTTTTCGTTCCGCGATTTTTTTTTCTTTCCTTGATTTTTCGTTCCGTGATTTTTTTCGTTCCGTGATTCTAGAACAGTGCCCTAAAATGTTCTGTATTTTCAATGGCTCATAGTTTTTATCTCGGTGATGCTACACAACAACTATCGACCACAAAAATGTAGCTACTTGTTTAAATTATGAGAATTTCATGACATAATTCAGAAAACTTTAGTTCTGAATCCGCACGGCTTCATCCAACGAATGACCCACAAGGAAGGCGCTTGCTTACTCGGACTAAAGTTTGCACTAGCATAAAATTTGAGTAAAGCGTTGTATTAGGCTCAAATTTGGTGTTCCGAAATTCAGGTGATTCATCAATGTCGAATTATTCGGTCAACTTTGAGCTGAGTTATCGCTTATCAAATTTGCTTCACCTCATGAAAATCACGGGTAACATTACGCCGTTCATCTTTACTATTAGGGGTTTGCAAAAGTAATGCGCGTCAAGTTTGGTGTTTTGTATCTCACCCAAAACAAACGGTTTGTGTTCAATTTTTTTTTGTTTTAAAAAGCGCGTTCTTGGGCTTCATTTTGTTATATTATATTGATGTTTCAATTTGATTTCTATGAAAAAAACGTTCTAGAGTCCGACCAAAAATTTCGCCTTCGAGCATTTTTGTGGCACCAATTTAAGGAAGGAAAATCGGCTGCCCCGCTCACTTTCTCCTGCATTTGGTGAAGAAGCTATATCCGATAGTCAGTGTCGCCGCTGGTTTCAGCGCTTCAGGAGCGGAGATGAAAGATTGGAAGATGAATCGCGCCCTGGTCGTCCAGAGCAGGTGGACAACGATGCCTTGAGAGCAGCAATTGAAGTGGATCCTTGCCAAACTACTCTCAGTCTCCGGAGCAGTTCGACTGCGATTTTTCCACGATTTCCAGACATTTGCATGCAATCGGAAAGACAAACAGATGTGGAAAATGGGTCCCTCATGAGCTTTCCGATTCGAACAAGGAAAGACGTGTTGAAGTTGCCAATATTCTGATGCACCGCTCCAAAAATCGTGGTTTCTTCGATTCGATTTTGACATCGGATGAGAAATGGATTCAGTGGGACAATAATGGGAGAAAAAAACAGTGGCTGAGTCCTGGCGAGACCCCGAAACCGACTCCAAAACCGGACATCCACGGAAAGAAGGTGATGATATGTGTCTGGTGGAACACACGAGGTCTCGTGCATTTTGAACTTCTGAGACCTGCGCACACGTTGGCAGCAAGTAGTGAACAATAATGGAGATTATCTTATTGATTGATGATCTCTTGTTTTGGTTTTACAATAAAAGGAAGTTGCATCAAAAACGCGCATTACTTTTGCAAACCCCTGATATTAACAATCACCAAATTCTGTGTGTGTGTCCGGTGTTCCCGGGTCACCTGCCCTATCGAAGTCCAGAATGGACCAAAATTTCTCAAATTTTCACAGATGACCCGAAATAGCAGCGAGATGATGCCCGAGCATTTTATACTTATAAATTTTGTTTCTGATGTCTTCTGGAGACGTTCTTCTATTTCTACAGTGCAAATTTTTAGAAAAATATTGAAGAAATATTCACGTCATTCCCGTCTAACCGCCTAAATTTTTTTCTTATCCACACTATTTCTGAGAGAAAGGTGATTTTCTAGAAATATTCTTTTGACATGGGTTTTAAAGATTTGAAAGGGAGAAAAAAAAGGTGGAAGAGAAAGTGAATAAAAGGAAAAAAGGAAAGAAAGAGAATGCGAGGAAAAATAACAGCGCCCTTTCTGGATCACTCGAATTTTCAGAATTCAGAATAATTTTTAAAATTTCCGAACTTAATTTCATAATTTTCAAACTTCGGAATATATACATTTCTGAGATCTTATTCACCGAATTTGCCAAAAAATTTCAGTTTAAGATTTTCCAACTTTTCAGGTTTTCAAATCTCGGAGTTTCTAAATTTTCGAATTCTCAAATCTAAATTTCTGATTTTTCAAAGTTCCAATACTTTTCGACTGAAATGTTTTTCGAAAAGTTGAATTTCTGAATTTCCAATTTTTCAGGTTCTCAAATTCTAGATTTTCAAAACTTTTCCGAAATTCTATACATTTTGCGGACAGGACAGTCTCAGGCCAGCCCGGCATTTAGTAAGTATGCGAATTTCGAAATTTTTCAATTCTTTAAAATCTGATATACCAAATTTCGATATTTGAGACAAACAGATTCAAACAATTTTCTAGCTTTCAAAACTAATGTTTTCCTACATCTGATTTTTAAAAATTTACAAATCTCTGAACTTCCAAGTGTCTTACTTTTCCAATTTCCGGATATCCTTACTTCTGACTTTCCGAATTCTGGAAATTCTGAATAACCGAAATATCGAAATTCGAAATTTCCTAAGAGACCATGAAAAAATAGTCCCTGTAAAAAAGACAAAACCTGGCTCCTGTTAGCGAGGTTCAGCCCGGATGGGCGCAAGCCGACTGTTTTTCAAAATTCGAATATTTCGAATTTCAGAATCTTCGGAGACCAGAAATTTCAGTAAACCAGGACATTTAGTTATCCAAAATGCGAATCTTCAGAAAACCGGGAGTTCACATACTCCGGATTTCAGAACATAAAAATATTTTTTCAGTATTGGAAATTTATAAAAATTTGAGAAATCAAATATTCCGCGAAGAAAATTGATAGTATGCAAAACTTTCACAAATTTTGGTGAATTCGGAAACTCAAAAATGTTGAAGTTAGAAACTCAATTGTAAGGTACAGCAAGCGGAAGCCAGGAGGTTGAGCCCCCTAAACCGACTGGTCTTCGAACAATCATAACAATACCTAGATTTGCGGAAGCGCTTTGAAAATTTCAGTGAGTTTGAATCAATCGTAAAATTCTGTTCCTATCAGTTTTCCCGCTTCAAAAATACCTATATCTAAAATTAAACCCGTTTTTATCAGTCTGGGTAATTTTGAGCCACCCTGTACCACATACAATATCAGCCATTGTGACTATTCCGACATCGGAAGAATTGAAAAATGGGATTCCCATATAGAACGACCACTTGTGACATTTTGTGTTTGGAGTGCAAAGATCCACAAGGATTCGAGCTACTGCTAGTTCTTCATGAAGAATGATTTGGAATGGAAGAGATTGCAAACTCTTTTCAATATTCTGAAATCAATGAATCAGTTAATTTCTTATTTGATATCTCGAAAATCAAATCACATACAGTAATCTTGTGTCTGACATCCCTCAAATTAGTTGCGGTACTGTAGTTGCACTCATAAGAAGCTCCGAGATGTACCATACCAACTTCTGATCTGAAAAAAAGGAAATCGTAATTTATTTCCATATGAATGGTTCCATGTTACGTTTGTAGGATAGCAGCTTCTCTTATCTGTGTCAGCCAAACAATATACACATCTTCACTCTCTTGGCTTACGATTAGAGCTTGATCTCTCAAGCAATATGGCGTCAGTTGTGGCAATGGATCAGTATACATGTTGGTTGGTTGAAGAAGAGCAGCTGGTAGAGGAGGTCTGGAATAATGTCAGTCGGTGATTTTGGTTCCGCAAATCTCGCCTACCTCATATCAATCTGTTGAAGTACTGGTGTATTTACGAGGTTTGAAGTAGAAATTTGGGCGTTTTGAAGATGACGAGCAACACTGAATTCTCCTTATCAGGTGATTTGGAACGGTATCACTGTGAGGGTCAATTATCATACTAGTCTAACAAAACATCCTCATTTTTTTGGCAAGCTTACTTGTAAACCCTGGCGAACCGTTCTAAATTTTATGTTACTCTCTTCCGCTGTTTTTTGGTTCAAAAACTGTGACCCTATTCACAGTGGACGGACGGTCCGTCGACCAGCGGTCACCGCTCTCAACGCGCCGCCCAGCTGCTAACGGCCCGCCGGCGGCGACGGAGAAGAATGCATTAGGAGGATGATTTTCCAACTCACTCGATGGATCCTCTCATATCATAGTTTCTATTCTTATCTGCAGCCTTCTTCCCATCGACATTTCTCGCTGGTCTCTGAGGCTTCTCCCTTTCCTCTAGAAGTTGATTTTCTGCCAATTCCAACTTCCTAGTCAGATCAATGTAGTCGTTGTAGTCTTTTTGCTGTTTGTATGGATCTATAGGTCCTTTGATTTTTGTCACTTTGAAAAGCTGACTTTTGTTTTGTTCATAGTCCAAATCCTTCCTGTAAACTATCAAATCTTTGTTTCGAAATAAAATACCGTAAACACTCTAATGGAGTGCTACCCAAACTTTCAACTTTGAGCCTGTTTATCTCAGTTATTGTAGATGGTATAAAAAAGTGGTCAACTGAGAAAATATTTTTGATAATATGATAAACATTTTTTCAGTTGACCAATTTTTTATATCTTCTACAGGGAATAAGATATATGGGATTGAAGTTGAAAGCTTAGGTGGCACTTCATTAGATTATTTACTGTGAATAGCTTACACAACAATGAAACTTCTGAATGCGTTCATTTTTTGATTCGTTTTCACTTCTGATGAATCGACGAACCCATACCAATCAGCAAATGCCAGTTTTCTTTCAAATGTTTTATGTCTCGAATCGGGACTGAATGCAATATAAGATGAAATTTTGAATGTTCCATCTGCTTCTGTAGAAATACAATCTTCGGGCATTGGGTCCTCAACCTTGATATAAGGATTCGTATAAATTCCATTTTCCAATTTTGAATATTTCATATCGAAGACTAGGAATTTTCCTGGGAGTGGTCTGAAAATAGAAAAAAAAGTTTGGAAAATTTCAAATAATCCAAAACCAACCGTCGTGAGAATCCCGCATCGTTTGAATCAATTTTCACCCGAATCAGTTGGAAATCTTCTTTTTTATAACATGAAGCTATATTAGAAACTGAATTAAAGTTTAAAACCAAATAACGACGGCTCATTTCACAACAATCGAATGGATTCAAACTTCGAAGTGAGCAAGAGAGGCGAAGGTTTCCCAATAGGAGTGATAAGAAACTTGTGAATGGCCTGGCAAACAAATGAATGGCCTTATCAAAAGTTAAACAAAACACTTTTAGGTTCATTTCTATTTCAGTTCTTGTGTGACAGGAAAATATAAAATGAACAGTTTATTGGCTAAAACCATTCTTTTTTTTTCAAAATAATAAGATCTCAAATAATCATCTAATCCAGCAATCAGAGCCATCTTCCCATTATCATCGTCGTCAATAACTTCCGGCGATGTGAAAACTTCTATGTTGGAAATTGCAAACGCCGTCGAAATTCAACTGTAGATAAACAATTGGTATGCCTATAGGCTCGCTATTAGCTCCAAATTGAGCTGTTCAAGTCAAAGTCCGAGACAAACAAAAGACGACAAGAAGAACAAGCAACCATCGTCATTGTTATCATCAAGTGGAAGTAACCAAAATGATTTCGGAACTTTTACTTGGCTCTTTTTTAGTTCCCGTTGTCATCTACTCCTCGCCATGTGTATTCTTCTCCCTCTCGTGCGTTCAAGTGAATCCTTTCAAATTTTCTTTGTTGGAATCTTAACATTTTTAATCGTTTGTGACTTTTTTCATTTGTTTTTCTATTTCATTCTAACACACAATTTAGAGAGAAAAACAAGGAAAACAGTTCTTTTCGATTCATATGGAACTTCTACAAAATTAACGTATTCTTCTTTTTCATTGTCCATGATATCGATCCTTCCCACATCTGCTCCCGGAATTCCTACCTCTTCTCCGTAGCCAACGTATTTTGCTTCTTCATCGCTTATTAGCTTATTAAAACGATTTCTTGTATGTCTGCAACTGGGGTTTACCACTGCTTCCTTTGAAACAAAATATATCTGCTTTATCATACCTACGCATTCTTCGTCAATCACAGTAACCCTTGCATACAAAAACATCATTATACAAACTTAAATACAGGCTGGAAATGCGAAGCAGATTCAGTAAATTCAGATTTGTGAATGAATAGGAGTATGCCCAGTAACAGACTCGTGAGTAAAGTTGAAAAGCGCTGAAGATAACAGAACGGGAGTAGTCAGAAACCAAAAATAGAGATGAACAAAATATAATTATTTCCAGACAATTGCCTTTAACGTCCACGTCGATCGGGGCTCAACAATAGGCAGTGGTTAATCAGTTGTCAAAGCTCGCCCACAAACTCGATCTAGTCGACAAAGAAAAATGCGTTAAATATTGTTGGGTGAGTTTTACTGTGAATTCAATTTTCTTAACGAAGAAATGTTTCAGAATCAATTGCTAAACATAAGCCTTGCTAAACCCAATGATCCGTCTCATCGATCTTATTGGTACAGATGTTTGTTATTTATTATTATAAATTCTTACCCAGGTTTCTCTTCTTTTTGTCACTATTAAAAATTTAATTTCTTTTAGTACGAACCTTTTTTTATTTACAGTATTCATTGAGGTGCAGCCGAGGTAAAAAATTATACAGATTGCTCGAATAGTGGTATAGGGGCCCCTAGAGTAATCTTAGAAATTGAAAAAGTACAGAAAAGAAAAATGTAATTAAGCCAATGAATTGGCAAGTTTGTCGATGGGACGTGCTTCTAGTTGCTTCTCGTCTTTCGGTCTTACGTTTGGAGTTTTTGGACCGCCCGTTTTCTTGCCGTCTGAAAAAATATTATTGGATTTTGAGATTTGTCATTTTCCAAACTAACAATGCTTGTTTCTACCCTCTTTTTGTTTTGCCTCTTGCTGAAAAGATGACTCTTGTGAAACCATAGAGAGCACAGTGTCAACTGCTTTGATTCGTCCCTCACGGAGTATCATGTTGGATCCTGGTCGAATGTATTCCGGTTGTCGAATGAATTTGAAGTGTACTTTGTCACGATCACCAGTCTTCAAAACTTCTTTTCGCATTGAGACCAACGTGACAGCCTGACGTACTGATCCTACATGAAGCATTGCTTGGTAGTTTGTTCTAATTATTGTTGGGGCCAAAACGAGAATCTCGGCTTCGAACAGCATACTGGCGACTGGTTTCGTTTTTTGGTCGACTAGGACCATTCCTTTGCGAACGTCTTTTTTTGAAATTTTTCTGAAAAAAAGTGAATAAGAATTTATGGAGCTTGATATAAATTTTCTATTAAAATCTGATTTTTTTACTTATGTATTTTTCACGTTTTTATAGCTTTCCAGGTCATACTCACTGCAACGCCAACGAAGCGGACTGTCCACACTTGACAATTCCGGTTGGCATGCGTTTACGATGAATCGATTTGATCGGAATCGGATGGAAATCACCGTTCGACGTTGGTCCGAGCAACATGATATCATCGAGTCGAATGATTCCAGAAAGCAGGGTTCCACTGACAATGGTTCCCACTCCATCGATCCAGTAGATGTCATCGATCTGGAAATGTGCCGGATAATTCTCATTCAAGGACCTTCTCAATGGGACGATATTCAGGAACTGGTGGAGGAGTGGAAGATTGGTTCCCTTTACATTGGATACTTGGAAGATTGGGCAGACTCTGAAGACAACAGATTAGATTTGGAATTTTCCAAAATCCGTCACACTTTTTGCTAGGGAAATTGACAGCGGCGTAGACGACGTCATCCATGGTTCTCACCAGAATCGGAAGTTTCTTAGCGCTTTTCACCAGCTTTGTGATATTATTCACCTTCTCCTCAAGAATATTCTCTGGACACATATCAATTTTAGTGACTACCAGGTAGAATGGCACATGAAGCGATAGTGTCAACGAGAGATGCTTTTTGGTGGTTCCAATAATTCCCATATTCGCTCCAATCATCAACATTGTGTAGTCTGGCATAAATCCTGTCATTCCGAAGATTGTAGTTTTTAGATATTTTTCATGTCCAGCCAAATCTATGAAAGTAATCAGTTTAGCGCAATCCGATTCAATTTGCACCCAATCCAAATTGTGATTATTTGGGTCTGGCTTATTCCCCACACTTCCATGCACATCAAATCCCAGAATATAATTTCCCACTGATGACGTTCTTCCACTCTCAAACTCATGTTTATGTCTGAACAACTTCGTTCGCGCGGCTCCTCTTCCATCATCAAGTTCTGAGTGAGTGGGCACACCGACCAAAGTAGTTTTTCCAACATCGACGTTACCCACAACAGCCACACGTGCCTCAATGTAGTTCTTCTCTTCTGGATCGCGAGGTGAAATTGCAAAAATTTCAGATATATTGCTGTTGCAAATTCGAACAATTCGCTGAGCATCCACTGTACCTGATATTTTTTCCAGAGTTTTTGTTCCAAAAAAAAATAATTTCCATACTACCTTCGTCGATATCTTGAACATTCACAATTTTCATATTTTCATCGTTCTTTTCCAAAACAGTCAAGTCCATTGGATTCACAACTTCTATGTTATTTGCAATTGCATAATTACGCAAAGCAATGCAGTGATCCTTCTCCTTCTTATCGACGTTCGAGCATTTTTCATTCCTGAGCATCATGCAGAATCCGGAGCTGATGATTATTTTTGAAGCCTTTTTGATAATTTCCTTGCACATCTTCATATTCTCAGCTTTTCCGTTTTCCAGGATACAAACAAAATCCGATTTTTCAGCCATTATCTAAAATAATGTTATATTTAATTGACAACCAGAATCTACTCCACCTTCACATAATCACCGATATTTGATAACATTGGATCAATAAGCATATTAGCATCCACAAAAACATCTCCATGCATCAAAACTGATAGTTCAAAGTTTTCATTTTTCCTTCTCTCCGTTATATTTCTTTTGATCATCGAAAAACTCGTTTACAGATCGAACCTCTATATTTGAATGATTGTCCTTCTTCTGCACGTTCGCTAATAGATAACTTTCGAATTCATTTACTGTTATCGATTTGGATAATCTTTGTGTAGACGGGTCGGCTCTTGTCGGTTATTTTGGTCCTTAGAATTATTTTTGGTCCTTAGAATTATTTTTGGTCCTTAGAATCATTTTTGGTCCTTAGAATTATTTTTGGTCCTTAAAATTATTTTTGGTCCTTAAAATTATTTTTGGTCCTTTTATCTGTGCCACCTTGCTTAAAAAATTGAAATTGATAAGAAGTACCATTTTCCTTTTTCCACCGTCCTTTGTTTGAACTGATTGAAAGATCAAATTCTGTGTATATAAAGGATGCCTCCCCGATGTCCACTATATCCCAACTACCCGGAGAATGAACTGCTTTTCTTCTTCTTGTGTTCTCTTGCTGCTCATATTGATTCAGTCTGCATATGGAGGTAAAAGAGGTGGTGCTCTCCGGAAGATTTTTCCGATATTTCCAAGTAGACCTCCCTTCTTACCCCGTCCAGCAGACAGCCGATAAACTAACAGATATAAGATACACGGAGAGGTTTGAAGGGTTGGACGTTGGCTGCTCTATAGCAATTTCTGCTTTGATTAAAGAAAAAAAGTGAGTGCTGTCTTGAAAATTGTTCTTATCTCTGTTCATGCTACAGGTTTGAGATATTTATCCACCACCACGGTGGTTACTCAGTGGTACCAATTTACATTTTGGTGTCTCCAAGTGAAGTACAAACGCGGGTTTTCCACTATAATTGCATTTTTCAGACCATGTCGTTTTCTAGTAAGAGAAGAAACAGGTGGGAGCTGGAAGAGAAGAAGCGCCTCCCTTCTCTTACTGGTGAACTGATAACGGTGAACCTTGCCGTAGAAGAGGATGGCTTCAATGTAAGTCCTTACTATTACGCTACTTTAGAAACTTCAGTTACAGATTGTCGTAAACGAAGAATAACACCTGTATTATTATCAACGCATGGATCCCCAACATGCGGATCAAATTACAATTGCTGGAGATGTTCTCGTCAATGCAGTGGACATTGCTTATGCGAAGGAAGAAGAAGAAGAGGAGGAAGAAGAAGTGTAGGAAGACCATGATAATTAGAAACAGAGTTAAGATTAGATTATTTGGAAATAGAGTTAAGGTTACTAAATAAAATGTATTCCTAGACTGCCGCGACGAGTTTCCAACTTCGTTATCAGTTGTTCCATATTTGCAAATAAATAATTTGAAGGCAGACTGAATTATGAAAGTGTAAACAATTAACAAGGCAAATAAAAACGCTAAATAATAAAAAAAATTAAAAAATGTCACAGGCACTGTGAATAACCAAAAAAAATTTAAGGACCAAAAATAATTTTAAGGACCAAAAATAATTCTAAGGACCAAAAATAATTCTAAGGACCAAAATAACCGACAAGAGCCGACGGGTCGACTAACAAGAGAATCGATCGAGCCCCGTTTTTGAACATATTCTACAATAAAAAATTCGATCAGACCTTTAAAATTAAAAACAGATTTACCTCTATTATCCGTGCACATTTGGAGATGAATCCTATTTAAGATAGGGAAAATTCGTATTTTCCACGAATTTCTTCTTGTATGCTGTTGAAATCGCATCTCAGGATTACCTTTTTGTTTTGAAGATTTATACTGTTTATCATCCTCCCATTGAGAACATCTCGGCTCAGGTCTGCAAATAAATCTTTGTTATTTTTCTGTTGCAAGAATGATAAAAAAGAAATTCAATGACTTTAAAACAAACTTTTTATAAATGAGCAGACTTTTCAAATGTGACAGTTCTTTGGCTATTGATTTATGTTGAATTCCTTTGAATTCTGAATCCATAAGTTTTATGAATTTCATGTTATATGCGGAATTGTGTATTTGAACAGATCCGACTGGCTCGTTCAATTGTGGGTTGTACATTTTTGGGAAGTTCTCATCTGCAAATCTATTTGATTTTGGGTTCCATCCAATCGTCGACCAGAGCTTGGTACTTTTCTCCGACGCGGATAGCTCCTTTATCAGCCAATAGAGTTCCTGCATTTGGGTCATAAACCAGAGAGTGGAAAAAAGTGTCGTCCTGTCCAATATAGTTTCCTGCCTCCTGGCAGTCATCCAACAGCACCACCCGACACTTTCCACGAATCAGCGTTGCTGGCAGTACTTCGGATTGTCGAGTCATGAAGATCTCGTGTTGTCGGAGGCGAAGGCGTTGATCCTTGGAGAGCTTCTCAACCCCACACGGCAATCCACATTCCCCCCAATCGACAAGTAAACCATCGTCATCATGTTCTTCTTCCTTGGCATCACCGCCGTTGGTTTTTGCGTCTGTGAATATTTAAATGTGTTCATTGAATTTTATTTTCCCTCAAACTTACACATTTTCTAACGACGTTGTATTTGATCGGCAATCTTCAGAAGATGTTGTGGAATGTCTTGTCGGCGCATGAAAATGACGCATCTAGCATCAACACTTCCGTTCTCTGTCTGAAAATAGAATGGTACATATCTCGATTCCTAACAATGCAATTTGAAGAAAAATTACCTTGACAAGCTCATCTATCTTTGGATCTTGAACGGCGCGTCGGGTGCCAATGGGTCATCAAAATATACACAATCGCCAACATCGTATGTTAGTTTGGTTGTTGATATTTCCATCGGCATTAGCTTCTTGCTTTTGTATAAATTAACTAAGACGAAGATATTACCGTATCGGACAAACGTATATCATATTTAATTTTTTCGGTGGACAATAATCGCCTCTGATGTTCTGAAAAAGTATTCCAAAATTTTTCGATGTGTTAGAAAACTATGCAATACACTAAACAAAATAATAACTTCCGTTTTGCAATTAACAAATTTTTTGTGCGAATCTAACAAAGATAGAAAAGCGGTTTTAAAATAGCACAACTCTTATTTCAGTCTTAATTTAGCATTTCCCGTAGAAAATGCAAAACTGAAGATCTCATTTTGTTTGTTATAACCCGGCCGCGACTGGCCGCGGCCGGCCGTGGCACAGCCTTGCGGCACCCAAAGAAATTTTTCAAAAGACGATGTTAGTTTAAAATTATCAAATTTGAGTATCTGAATAAGCACCCTGTAAAGTTGAGCTCGGATCATTTTGAAGTGAGTTGTGACTCATGAGCCAACTCCTATTATTTGCTTTGAGTACCATAACTTAAGAATCCGTTATTCGTAATGATTCAAATTTGTATTAATCTTTGCATTGTTTACCACCTGGAGCAGATTATCTGGCGACCCACATAATTATACCTGTATGGACAAGACGGGACCGTTGCGTGTCTCTCGTTTGCGTACCATTTCACCTGTGAGCGTATTCGCATTTAGGGGGGAACAGATCAATACAGTTGTTCAACCCTTTACTCGCGAGAGAACTTTCTTCGTAATTTTCGAAATCTATGCCAGCATTTTAATAATTTCAAAATTCTAAAGAATAATGAAAAGAAGTTTCATACTCCATTTACCGTAAGATATTTGTTGTAAAGTTTTGCAATTAATGGAATACGTATCTAGGTTGGCTCATCTGAATTACTTTAAAATTATTTATCATATTTCAGATACAAATTAGCACAATGTTCTAAAAGATCAAGAAAAGTGGTGACTAATGTTCCAATCCGCTACTTCCATTTGATGGTTGATTTGAGCAATGAATTGATTTTTATCGGACTTGTACCATTCAAAGTATTGGAATTGCCGAATAATGTATATTCAATGTATTTTACGAATCACGGAGATTTGAATTGTAAAGTTCAATTTGAATTCAATGAAATAGAAACCATTCCGCCTGAAGTAGTTTCGGGAAATTACATAGAGCGTGCTATTAACGAATTGAACAAAATTATGTATTGTCGAAATACAAAAATTCTGGAGTTAGTTTTCAGAGGTAATAACGCAATTCATGATAATATATATTTTCGGAATTTCAGAGCATGATAAAAACATCAGAAGTAGTAGAATGTTGAGATCTTTTCGGCAATTTTTTAGATCGATGCCACAACAGATACCCGTGCAACGTATAAAGATACAGTCCGATAGTAATGAAGAATTTGCTTGTAGCATCTTACCATATCTCAAACCAGGTTTGTTCACTTTATACTCCATGCGAGCTCAGAATCCTCAATCCAATAATCGTTTAAACAATTAACTGATTTACCGTTTTAGCGGTTTCATTACTTTTTCTTCCCATGCTTTTCTTTTCAGGAACTCTCGAGGAGATCATTTTCATGAACCGTTGGTTTAGATATCCCCATACTACGTTTACAAAGGTGGTACTCTTAGAACAATGGAAAATGGCTGACGTTATTTGTGTTGACGATGGAGCTGTGAATGTAGCAATTGAGCATTTCCGAGAAACTTCTTGTTTTAAGTTAGTAGCTGGAAAAAGTATAGAAGATTTTCAGTTGATTATTGAGGTGATTCCATGAATGTGTCAGTATATCCAGAATTTTGTTTTCAGAATACCGTAAAACCTCTAATAGAACGGCACCCGGATCGTCCACTTTGAGCCTATATATCTCACTTCTTTTGAAAGATATCAAAAAGTGGTTAACTAGTAAAATGTAATGTTTATCAGGATATCAGCAACATTTTACTAGTTAGCCACTTTTTGATATCTTTCACAGAAAATGAGATATATAGGCTCAAAGTGGACGATCCGGGTGCCGTTCTATTAGAGGTTTTACGGTAACCAAATACAACTTTTTATAATGAGAAAATGAAACCATCGAGTAAAACCAATGTTTAGATGAGAAGAAGAGAATTTTTGTGAAGGAAACCAATTTTCTTCCTTTTTCAAGTTTTCCATTTGGTTTCTAATTGGAATGTACATGAATACAGTCGCTGACTGTGAAAAGAACGCAATTTCTATTATTTATACAGCTTATTATTTAAAATCCAAATCGAATCGAAACATCCCATGCGACGAATAAATTGGAGTTACAGCCTTTTCACAATGAACTGAATGTTCGGAAAAATCCGTATGATTTTGAATTGCCAAGACATCGTGGGTGTATTTCGCCCAAAGAATTGATTGATCTTTTTGAAATATATATAACT